AAGCCACTGACATGTCCAGGACTGTTCGGTCCCATGTTTCCGAACAATTATTCATCAAGAAGCTCAAATTGCTTGATATCGTGTCCCAGACATAGGGGCGCTCCACAGCTTGTGCAACATGGGCCGCCTCCGGGGCTGTTTCACACAATGTCTCTATGTGGTCATCAATTTGCCGGTCTGGTTTTTCCCTGCACATTCAACAGCATGCTAAGTGCTTCTGTCTGAGTCGAGGGGGGAGTGTCTCGCCGTGAAAGGCGGACCACACGGGTCGGTTTGCGACACTCATTCTGACACAGTCAGTTTTTGGCCCGCCCTTCTATTCAAAAAATAGGGGGAGGGCCTATGCATTTGCCTTTGTGTCTGTGTGTTGTTGTTGTTGTTGTTGTTGTTGTTGTTGTTGTTGGCGTCTGTGTACAAGGAAGGAGTTGAGCTAGAGTAACCAGATTTGGAGGGTACTTCAGGAGTACCGTCCAAACAAATAATCCGGTGGTGCAAATCCCGTCCGGGTCGCACAGGGCTGCTGCAGGTGCATCATGGTTTTACATGACCGGGAGGGGGATTTCCGCCATTATTGGTGCTAGCAGGGCACATAGGGGTATTTTTGGAATCGGGGCGACGAGGCAAGATGAATGGACCTGGTCCCGACCCCATCGGCCGCTTTAACAAGTTGGCCAGATCAGGATCTTCAAAAAAGGGGGTCGACCGACTAAAAAAATTTATTGCAGATTTCGATTGGTCTCAGCAAGACCTTTTCAACGAGGGTCGGAAAGGGGGTCCAGGAGCCCGACTTCGTCTATTAGTCACATCAGGATCTTCAAAAAAGGGGGTCGACCGACTAAAAAAATTTATTGCAGATTTCGATTGGTCTCAGCAAGACCTTTTCAACGAGGGGTCGGAAAGGGGGTCCAGGAGCCCGACTTCGTCTATTAGTCACATCAGGATCTTCAAAAAAGGGGGTCGACCGACTGAAAATTTTTACTTAGTTTTCGATAGGTCTTGGCAAGACCTCTTCAACGAGGGGTCGGAAGGGGGGTCCAGGAGCCCGCCTTCATGAGTTATGGGAAAAAGTGCGACGGACTCGTTTTGCGCTCCTGCTGTGCCTCTATTGCAAGGAGTTGCAGTAGCATGGCAAATATGGGTATTTTCGGAATGAGGGCGAAGAGACAAATGAAATGGGCATATTCTAAGGACAGTTGGAGTAAAAAGTGTAAGGACTATTGCATATTGTGAATAGAAGGGCGGGCTTAAGTCACGATGGTACATCGATAACTTTGCTTTACCCGCTCACGGTGTGTGTGATGCGAACGGGCCGAAGGCCCGGGCCTTCGACTGGCCAAGTTGGGTCTGATGCCAGGGCCGAAGGCCCGAGAAAAGGCCGCCGGCAGGCCAAGCTGGGCCGGCCCCCTGTCGAACCGAGTTGCCGGCGCAGCGAAGCGGAGCTGGCAACTCGGTTCGACGGAAGGGCGGGCCCTAGCTTGTTGATACCTGCAGCATCGATACTCCACGCCGCGAAACGCGACTCACGTCGCGGACACTCGCGGCCTAACGCATCCGCGACTATCATTCTGATATCATTTTGATACCGAGCCCCGTCGCTACTCCACGCTCCGCGCGCCGCGCATCCCACGCTCTAGGGCATGGCCCAGAGTCGCGCCCTAGCCTTGTCTGATCAAAATGAGCCTTGCAGATTGAGTCTGACTTTATGATAAGGTCAGTATGACAAGTGTCTTACGCCCCGTGTATGCAGTGCCCTGCTGTGCCGTGCCTTGCGTGTGTTTTCGCCCTATTGGTTTGAAGGCTGGAGAAGAAAATTGGAGGCTGTCAACTTTGTATCTAAGTTTATTTACAAAACAACCATCTTGCTCGAGGCGGAGCGTAGACACCATTTGTACATATTCATTAAATATCTCTTTGGAGTCATCCCGACGCTTTTCATCTCCTAACATTACCGTAAACCGGGGTAACTTGAGACAATATTTCACGTTTTTTGGACCGTGTGTCCACGAAACTTCTCTCACGAGCCCGAATCATCCCAAGTATGTTTTATTTCACATGATTACATTCGGTTTGGACCCCACGAATTTTTTGGGGGTCTCCTAAAATGAGAATAATGGGCCTCTAAAGTTGTCTCAAGTTACCCCGTCATTTGGGGTAACTTGAGACACACCTAGTTTTTACTTTGCTTTTTCACGGAAGTGGGTTTTTTGCCAGTCCATACTGACTTTCTGAGACATTTAACTCATTTTCAATGAAAAGTACTACTTGTGGAATATATTAGAAGATTTTTGATCCTTATATTAAGATTTTTTCATCAAGGTTACGTTTGGTAATTTGAGGGATAACGGCACTTCAGAAGCGCAACGATTCTCCTATTTCACATCCATCTCTGTCAACTAAGTACAGCGATTCTCTCATTATCCAACCCTGACACCTGTTAAGACATTTTTCTTTATTTCTACGTACACAAGTCCATTCCTGCAAAGGTATATAGTCTTAGTCAATTTTTAAAATTAACTCAAAATCCTTAAACTATTTTTACAGTTGTTTTTCTTCAAAAAATCGACGGTTCTTGGGCTATAAGTTGTCCAATTTCAATGACATTTAGCTTTTTGGAAAGGTAATTAAATTCCCCATCTTTTGAGATCTCAAGATTTATTATATCTCATCTGGTCCGTGTGTAGTTGAGAAAACACTCCAACTTTAAGCTGCATATCCACTCGGGACCCTTAACACTGTCTAAAAATGTGATTCCCGATCAAATGCGGCTTAGTTTTGATCGTAGAACGGAGAGGTCCGTTACTTTAAACAACCCTGTAGTACAAGGAGGTGCCAGTGTCAAGTTACGCTACTCAACTTCCGTCAAATTCAATGAAATTTGGTGTCTCAAGTTACCCCGCACAGTTACCATTTTCTATAAAAGTCAGTATTACCCGATGAATGATGGGTTTTCCTCAAAACCAATGCTGCATTTAGAATGTTGAAATAATAGGGTTGAAAGGTACTACAGTGATTTGGGTCTCAGCAAGACGTGTTTCGAGTACCAAGGGAGACTTGTAACACTTCTCTAAAATTGTTAAATTTACTAAAATTGAAAAATCGTTATAGTTCTGACCAGCTTGGTCCTAACCCGCCGTTCACACGCTTAGTCGTCTTTACAAACAAGTATAAAAGAAAGTTCTAGGGCAGTTTTGACCTCCGAATGTGCCGAGCCAGGTGGCAGCTCCAAAAAGGTGAAAAAGCAGAAGTGTCTCAAGTTACCCTTGCTGTCTCAAGTTACCCCGGTTTACGGTACAAGTGCTTCTAGAAGGGATCGTTTGACTTTCAAACAATTGGCACTTTCACTGTAAAAACGGATATGAAATTTTATAACTTATTTGCTGTGAAATTTCACAACATCGATACTAAATTTCACAACAGTCGATATTTTATAACATTTTCATAACATTCGTCACAACATGCCAAACTTTTAAAATATACTTTCTTGTTGAGGTGCTTGAATCTGAATATAATCATGATGTAAGAATGCATGAAATTGGCAACTTAGTGGAGTATTGTTGCATTGCTTACGATGATCTTGCAAGTCCCTTTCCTATGCGTGCTTACAAGTACCAGACGAAGCTGTGGGTTAAGTTGAAATATGCATTGGTTTCTGAAGCAAACTTATTTGACAAACATGTCACTTAAGGTGCATCTTATTATTATTGTGTGTAAATAAAATACTAGTTTCAGTACAAGAGTAGTGGATAGATTGCATTGGTTTCTATAACCATGACTTTGACAACCATGTTGCTTGTAGTTCATTGTGTTTTCAATGTTTCAAATATAATTGTTTTTAAGTTATTCATGTACATATTTTTCATACTGCGTGCAATTTGTTATTGTCTATTATTTTTGGCCCGCCCTTCTATTCAAAAAATAGGGGGAGGGCCTATGCATTTGCCTTTGTGTCTGTGTGTTGTTGTTGTTGTTGTTGTTGTTGTTGGCGTCTGTGTACAAGGAAGGAGTTGAGCTAGAGTAACCAGATTTGGAGGGTACTTCAGGAGTACCGTCCAAACAAATAATCCAGTGGTGCAAATTCCGTCCGGGTCGCACAAGGGCTGCTGCAGGTGGATCATGGTTTACATGAGCGGGAGGGGGATTTCCGCCATTATTGGTGCTAGCAGGGCACATAGGGGTATTTTTGGAATCGGGGCGACGAGACAAGATGAATGGACCTGGTCCCGACCTCATCGGCCGCTTTTACAGGTTGGCCAGATCAGGATCTTCAAAAAAGGGGGTCGACTGACTAAAAAAATTTATTGCAGATTTCGATTGGTCTCAGCAAGACCTTTTCAACGAGGGGTCGGAAAGGGGGTCCAGGAGCCCGACTTCGTCTATTAGTCACATCAGGATCTTGAAAAAAGGGGGTCGACCGACTAAAAATTTTTACTTAAGTTTTCGATAGGTCTTGGCAAGACCTCTTCAACGAGGGGTCGGAAGGGGGGTCCAGGAGCCCGCCTTCATGAGTTATGGGAAAAAGTGCGACGGACTCGTTTTGTTCTCCTGCTGTGCCTCTATTGCAAGGAGTTGCAGTAGCATGGCAAATATGGGTATTTTCGGAATGAGGGCGAAGAGACAAATGAAATGGGCATATTCTTAGGACAGTTGGAGTAAAAAGTGTAAGGACTATTGCATATTGTGAATAGAAGGGCGGGCCTAAGTCACGATGGTACATCGATAACTTTGCTTTACCCGCCCACGGTGTGTGTGATGCGAGCGGGCCGAAGGCCCGGGCCTTCGACTGGCCAAGTTGGGTCTGATGCGAGGGCCGAAGGCCCGAGAAAAGGCCGCCGGCAGGCCAAGCTGGGCCGGCCAGCTCCGCTTCGCTGCGCCGGCAACTCGGTTCGACGGAAGGACGGGCCCTAGCTTGTTCAAACTGCTATTGTTATTTCCACTCCACTCCTGTATTTGTGGCTTTTTGTGCATCTGCTTTGCTTCCTTTTTGTTCCATACTTAGGAAAATGGATCACAATGTCTCTCTCTCTCCAATTAAACAAGAAGGTTTCTTTGCGGTGGAGACACAGGCAAGTGACTCCCAAAGTGTCTTAAGCCAAGTTCCCCCACACAATGTAAGTTTGAAGGTTAAAGTTCATGTTCTTTCCATTTAATATTTATATTATGTCTATTTATTGTATGTCTATGTATTTTTGAATTATAGGTTCCAAATTTTTTCTTGCACCTGCTTCGGCAAAAGACATTGCACGCACAGCAGTCCGGAGTGTGGAATAATGTGACGACTGATGAACTTTTGGTTTTGAAGTTTTTCAGACCAACTAGTATCGAACTCCTCATAGTGTGCTGTAAGCCCGATTCCAAGTACTGCATGATTACACTCATGGGACTGTACATTAATTTCCTTTCTTTGCTTGCAGTGCTAAATTTCAAGTGTTGTGGTGATCCTCTGTGTCCATTTTGGCCTTCTGCCGTCAAGTCCTTCTGTGCGGATCACGCTTTGGAAACTGATTTCATCCCGGCCAAGCCACGGAAATTGCCCAAATGGATGCAGGATTGTGTCTCCACGCCCTCCCTTCCACCCCCACACCGTTTAGAACGATGACCGCCTCACAACGACGCAAGTACCTCAAGAAGGTGTTCTGATTGCAAAGAATTGTGGACCGAATTGTGGAACAATAAAACCATCCAAGTAGCAGTGCCTTTTAATAGAAGACCCTTTCTCTCTTCACACCCATCACAGGGGAAGTAGGGGGAACCTATGCTCAGGGAAGGCAAGACTGCAGTTACTCCACATTTATGGACCAATTTCACTTCGTCATTTTTTGGAACCTATGCATTGAAAATCAGTGTACCACACGCCGTGATCCGCTGAACGTTTAAAGCTATACTTCAACCAGCTAATTATTATCAAGTGCAGTACTTGTACTGTCAGTTGGTAGAAGCACTGAGCTCATCACTTTTAGCAAGATAAATAAAAAACAGGCATTTTATTTGGTTCTCTTGTGTGGTCCATGGCATTTATTTCTGTGCTGTCCTCTTTTGTAGAAACCAATACTTGTACAGTACAACGTGTGACTGCAGTCTTGTAGTGTTCCTGTGTAGTCACTTTGGATGTGGCTCCTATATAGCAACAAAGCAGTAACATTACGGTGCCATGGGAGGAGAAAGAAAGTACAAAGAGGAAAAGGGGATACAGGAAGCATTTTTCAAAACCCAAGAAAGGTTGCAAGCCCTACAAAGGATTAGTATGTGATGTTTTACCCTGACATTGTAACCTAACCTGCGCATTCAGGTGTAACATTGGCCGTTCCCTTGCTTAGGTTAAGGCCGATGAAGACTGTTCCACCGAGGATTTTTGTGGTTTTGGAACCCCACCCTATACTGCCATCAGGGTACTTTCCCTCTTCGATGGTATAGGAAGTGCTTTGGTTGCTTTAGACAAGTTGAACCTTGAGGTTGAAGCATATTATTCGTCTGAGATTGATGAGAAAGCCATAAGATTATTACGGTTCCACTATCATGACAGAATACGAATGGTGGGACCCGTCCAAACCCTGACTGAAGAGAAACTAGCCTCTCTTGGAGTCGTGAATTTGTTGTGTGGTGGCAGTCCTTGTTCTGAGCTCAGTTTAGTGAATCCGGCACGCAAAGGCCTTAATGGTACCAACTCTATTATTTTATGTGTAATGCTATGCTTCATTATGTGTCGGACTCAAACAGTTACTCTTTCTGTTCCAGACCCTTCTTCCTCAGGTCACCTCTTTTTTGAATATCATCGAATTCTACAATATCTGACCAAATCAGCAAAAGAAAAGGGTCATCAGTTTTACTGGCTCTTTGAAAATACCTCCTCTATGGAATTACAAACCAAAGAACAAATATCGAGGTACATATTAATGCTTCTATGTGGGGTCAACATTATCTATGTTTTATACTTCATCGATCTCATTTGACTCATCCCATTATTCCACTGACCAAACTAAACAAATGAATGTTTAAATATCTGCTACTTAGCCTTTGTTTTTCTTTTCTCCACCTACTGTAGGGTTTTGCAGTGCTCATCTGTAGTCCGGTGTGCTTCTCAATATGTAGGTATGAAAAGAAGGCGGCTTTTTTGGGGAAATTTCCCACCACAAAGCATTGCAGAAAGCTACAGTGACGGCATAGACCTACAGTATTTCCTAAAGCCGTAAAGAGAAGCAACTATTCATCACTTGCCTACTATAACAACAAACTCCCATTCTCAGAGAAGTGGTAGGATACTTAAGTGGTCATGTAAGCTTGAAACCGATTAACTATTAAACTAATGTTTTCCTATCTTTACATTAACAGGGAAACAACAATGTCTTCCAGTAACAGAGGAGGGCATTCCGTCACATCTGTATATTACAGAACAAGAAGAGTTGTTTGGTTTTCCTCCACATTACACTGACGGACCTAATCTTTCTGTAACAGATAGAAGGAAGCTTCTTGGAAAATCTTGGTGTGTACCGGTAATTATGGATCTCCTACATTTTTTATGTTCTATATTCAAGACCAAACTTCAGCAAAGGGTACACACAAGTGCAACCTAATAAGTATGTTCTAAAATGTATTAGGTTCTTTGATTTTGTCTGTTTATTATAATCAACCGAAAGTACCATATTTTTTATTATTTAAGTACCTCACGCCCCCTTTTCAAAGAAGCAGTGAAGTTACAACAATTTAAAAAAAGGAAGGCACAAATGTCTGCAAATGAAAAGTGACCTGTAAAGTAATAAAAACCATTAAGAGGGCGATAAACTGTTCAGGTATTATTTTCAGTAATTTGACTTAAATCTTACATCTGTCAATTTGTCGGCAATATGGATTGACCTTCTGATAAGGCTCGTGCACAATCACAGAGTGGACTTTCGCTTCTTTCTGAAAGCAGAGCGAGGGAAAAGGGAAAGCTTACTTAATTGTTGGTGTGACAGTGAACAGATTTTTTCGCCTGCACTATGTGGGTTAACTTATACAATGCGACTGTTGCGGTTTGATGTGTTTTGTGACTCAGACGAAGGCAACAAGGGACAACCACAAATAAAAAGCTACACATTTTATGGAAGTGGAGTCAAATTTGTGCATAAGCACCTTAATCTAAGAAAAACTTTTCAGTCAAAGAGGAACTTTTAACATTAAAAATAAAATCACAATTAAGATATTGTAGTGTCAGAATGCACTTATTACCTTAAGCACTTGCTGCATTTTGTCCAGTACACTACAAATGGATAGTGCCTTGGCTCGCCCAGTTGCAAGAAAGTGTGCCTCCCAATTTTCTTGAGTGTGTGGCCCTGTGCGACGAGCTCAGCACTCTCTGCTCGGGTGTTCACAAGTTGCAATCCTTGCATTTTGATTGACGGTGTTGCCTTTCTCGTTCCCACTCCTTGCAGCTCTGCAGATACCGGGGTCATGAACTGTAAAGGATACGTCATTGTAATTAAGCAGCAAGGGCACCAAGTAGAGTACATTGAGTCTTTTATTGTTCTTACGGATGCCCACTGGTAGACCTTGTTATCATCCTTGCATGCAACATAGGGTCGGGTTGCCTGCTCATCGGTGGCGCACGGGTAGCCACTTTTGACGTAGGCAGTCATGGCCCAGCCGTGTAAATCTTTACAGCGGAAGTGCGAAACTTGCACGGGTATGAGGGGAACGCCTCTAGAAGCAAGGGAGTCCAAGATCTAGAAAAGAAATGTGAACACTGACCCCTGACAGCCTATTGCGTCACAACAACAAGCAAGTAAAGCACAATTACCAGCAAGTTTTCTTCCTCCTTATCTTCATTCGTGCAGCCGCACCAAAGGCTCCCAGCTTTCGGCCTGTCTTGGTTTTGTGTCATTTCAATAGGGCAAGTAATTTGATTTAGAGCGGACGAAAGAGACGAATGTACACAAACAAAACAGCAGACAGCAGAAGCAGTAAACAACGGCGGCCAATGGGTACGCTCCTAACCTACACGCGCCGCGGTCAAACCTGGTCAGACACAAGTCACACCAAGGTTAAACAAGGTAAATGTCGTACCGATTATTCCGTTGTTGACCGATATATGCTGTATCCTTCGTTTTTTGTATGATATGGACGAAAGAGGAGTGACATATTTTCGATTAACAACGAATCTCGTGCACCGAACCCTGGCTGAGTGGGACACCTGTTGCTGCTGCCAGTTGCCACTAGGAATGACTCATCACCCATAGTGCATTGTTTGGTTTGGCGCCAAAGCCGGAGAGTTGCTTTTTCACGATTTTATAATATTTAATGTTATTTGTGGCTTAGGTCGTGTGTCCTCCGGAATGTGAACTGTCGAGCTGTGATTGGAATACACGAAAGTACCAGGAGTATGGACATCTGCTCTCGGAATCATTCAGCATAATCGCACCCAGCCAGCTTTGTTCATCCTTGGAGTCTGCCTTGGATCTTGTTTCTTTCATATTATCTAGGTAAGAGAGCTGTGAGCGTATTAGGATTATCTTCATTACAGGCTTGGCTCAGGGCATTCAGAATTCTAAAGTCTGTGTAATTTTAACGTGTTCTCAGCCTCGAATCCAAGCTTCTTTCACCAGCCTTGACCATTCTAACCTTGCTCTTGGCCTTTCCATGAAACAGGTGCTAAATGCACTTGTTACTGACATTATTTAACCTTGGCCTCAGGAACTATGCCGTTGCTTGTGTTTGTGACTGCGTGGGATCGTAGAGGAGGTACCTATGTTATGGGCGACACGATTCAGGATGTGATCAAAGCAGCTCAGGAAGCATTGAAAGTCACCGAGGATTGCAAGGTATCCGAACAGTATGATCCAAACCTGCAAACAACAAATGTATGTACTACCTGCTTTTTTTTGTAACAGCTGTACCTGGACTCGTCTGGCTTTGACGCTGGTGTGGAAGTGTGTGTTGATGATATTTTTAAAGCATTGATCAGCGATGCAAAATCTATGGGCCAAAAGATTGCCTTTTTCATGGCACCTGATGGCCAGAAACACATTTACCTCTCAGGTGTGTGAGTTTGTGTTTTTGAGGTGAACCTTCTGTGAAGTAAATTGCTTAGTGTGTGTGTGTGTGTTTATTAATTTTCCCTACCTTTCTGTGTATCTGAAGGGCATACTACTCCTCGCTCCCCATTGACTCCAGTGCCGGAGAATACAGAGCGCAGTGTGGAGCCTCAAACTCCCACTTCAAGACCTACAGGTTTGCGCATGTGCACCGATCATTTGTCTCATAGAGACTTTCTTCATGAAACCAGAGCAAAAGCATCAAAAGTATGTATTATATAAAGAAACATTCATATGACAGCAATAAAAATAAGATTTATCTCATGAGTGCTTTCCTAGTTTGGTTTTTAAGTGGTCTAGACATATTTGCAAGTGAGACGTTGATTTAAACTAAGAGTTTAAGTCTAAATTACTTTCTGAGTCGTTTCATGTGTGTGCGAGTTCTAATTAGGTAGCTTATTGGATAGTGGAAACTGGTGATGACAAAAGTTGTTACAGAAGTCACCAATTGAACATTTCTTTGATGCTTTTGTGAAATATTACTTCAACCAAGATATTGATGCTTCAGGCTACACATCTAACTGCATGAATG